AGTTCATGTGGAGTGTTTAGCCTTCTGCCTGCAGAGAGTAAGTCTTCAATGCATGAGATCCCATTATTATTATTGTTATTGTTATTATTATTATTACTATTATTAGCATTACATAAATGTCTGATAAATAAATTAATAAATGTCAGCCTTTTTCAGGATCAGACTCACCAGGCAACTCAAATTTGGAGGGATAAGGAACTACATTTTATTAGTTCAATTTATAATGGTCGGGTGTAAGGAAATCACTAAAATTTGGCTTCTCAGCCAGAATTCACCAATTTATTATAGAAGATACATTTTTTCTAGGGGTCAGAACTTCCTGAAGTCAAGGTACTTGAAGCACGGAATTAATAGAAGGCTGTTTGCGGTCTCTGAATCAGAACAAAGGGCATTGTCTCTAGAGTCTTTCAGGATGTGTGACACAGGCCGGAGACTTACCCAACTCCACCATCACCTGTACCTTTTGGGAGGTTGAAAAGTTTGTATCCACCGAATACCAGGACTTTCTCTCCCTCTCTTCACCCTTAGAGAGAAAAGGTAAATACTGGCAGATCTGTCTTATCCACGCCTAATATAAAATTTTGAAGCTACAAGGAGCCTTAAGGATCTTCTATTTCCTTAAACTAGACACGCATTTTATAGATGACAAACGTGAGTCTCAAGAGACTGTCCCAAGGAAACCTGGATATAGGTTAACAAAGCAAGGCCCTGACCCTAGTTTCCTAACTTCTAGTGCTTCCAGTTTGCTATCCTGCTTTCTCTAATATTTCCTATTGTGATAGACTTAAAAATATGCGTACCAACCTCCAAACCTTATTCATGTCCTAATCTCTTGGAATCTGTATGTAAAAATTGTCTTTGTGGGTGTGATTAAGAATCTTGAGATGGGGAGATAATCCTGGATTTTCAGGATGGACCTTAAACGCGATCACACGTATCCCTATAAAAGGTAGGCCAAGGGAGATCAGGAGCAGAGGAAAAGGTTATGTGAAGACAGAGCAGACAGAGTTTTAATGATACTGGACTTGAAGACTGGTGTGAAATGGCCACAAATCAAGGAATGCCAGCAGCCACCAGAAGCTGAAAGAGATAAGAAAGGGATTCTCCCCTAGATTATCTGGAGGGAGTGTAGCCCTGCCAACACCTTGATTTTGGCCTGATGATACTGGTTTCAGACTGTTGGCCTCCAGAACTGTGAGAGAATAAATGTCTCCTGTTTTAAGCCACCAAGTTTGTGATAATGTGTTACATCAGCCATAGAAAACTAATACACCTATGAAAAAGAAGTCATAGTTCCCTGTTTAGAAAAATCATTGGCACATGATACTATAGGCACATGCGTATTTCATACACAGACTGTCCCAGAACTCACACAACTCTTTGTCCAAAATCACCTTTTATAGCATAATGTCTCAGAGTTAGCTGGACTATAGTTTATTTTGTTATGCTACATATATTTAAAAGAGATCTTACTAAGATTTTTTTTTTTTAGATGACTTTAGTGTTATGTTACATATATTTAAAAGAGATCTTACTAAGATTTTTTTTTTTAGATGACTTTAGGGGACACACTTGTCTTATGAGCAACACATGCATAATTATCATTTAGTATGTTAGTTTTGCAAATAACTAATCTCATGACATTATGTTGATATTATTAGCTTTAGTTTCAAAACATGGAGATCCTCCCTTTGGAAGAACTGCACCCCCGAAAATCCCCATAGCAATGGTCTCTCATCACTCTTCCGTGCATGGGTTCAAATCCATTGCATAATCTTGGCTTGTACGTAACTGGATGGTATTTTTTTTTTACCTTAAACAAAACACCTCCTTCAAAGCTTAAATCTTAAACATGTGCAAGTTAACACACAAATGTTGTGGTAGTATTGGCTGAAGATTAGGAGGCTACCCCTTAGCTTTATGAGGAANAAAAAAAATACCTCTTCTAAGTTATTTTCATCATTAATTCAAATTATTAAAACATAAAAGATAAAATGTCTAAAGTTTTTGAAATGGCTCATTTGGATTATATTATAATATTGCAAACAAATGGGGAAAAAGCTTACAACCGAGTTTGTTTATTTTTTTAATTAAACTGGATGTAAAGCCAACATTTCTGCTTGTTTACCTATAGGAACTATAAAATACATGGTGAATATTGGCTTTTTCTGGCATTTCCCATATAAAAATGTGCTGTTTATATATGAAAAAGTGACTATACTTTGGGGAAAAGAAACTTAGAGTGTGTTCACCCTTAGTGTAGCTATGTTACTCTAAGAGGAAATAGCTGTGTTTACTAATGCCATACCCAGTTAACAATATGTGAAGTTTAATTTTAAAATAATATATGAATACTTTATTGTATACAAAATGTGTTTAGTTAAAAACAAATTTCTTAAAGCATAGAAAATTTAAATAGATTTGTATCAACACGGCTTTCCAACCCACCATCCTTATCAACTTATTTCAGATTATCTTCAAGGGGAAATGGTTTTGCACCCAGTTGTAAACAGAGGTTAGCCCTCTGCTTTGAAGGGTAGGGGGTTGTATGTGAAGTGCGGAAATAACTCGCCACTTTAGTTCATGGTATTAGACATTTTTGAGTGATAGCCAAAGGGTTCTTGTCAGTTTCAGGAATTTACTGAGTACATACTTTCACTTTTCAGAAGTGGGCCTGGAACCAAACTCTTAATAGAACGGATCGCAAGTCTATGTCATAGAGTCTACAAATGACTTAAAAGGGCTCTTTTTAGAATTTCCACACACTAGGAATGTTCAAAAGAGTCAATAAAACTAAACTTTGGAGCCAAGCAGTCAAGGTGGGAAAATGACTACTTAAAGACTGCCAACAGAAATGCTGAACTTCAAGTAGTGATCGTGAAACCTGGCATGGGGCGTGGCATAGTGGTTACCAATGCAGCTTCCAAGTCCACAGTCCTGGGTCAAAATCCAGGGTCTTCTCCTTCCTTAGGTTGTGACCTGGGACAAATCATGCCATTTCTCTCAAAGTGATTTATCTTATCGCTGCAATGAGTACAATAGCGCCAGGTGCCTCCCCTGGGTAGTAGCATTTCATGCACTTATAAATGCTACGTTTATTTCTGTGATTCTTCACTTCATATTTATCTCCTCTTTCAGATGTTAAGTTCCCACAAGTCAAGTGCCCTGCCCATTCTCATATTCCCCAGCATCAATCACATACATGCTTGGCATGAAGAAAGTATTCAATGATGAGTTTCATTTGAAAACTGTGGAGAGCACATGAAACAGTTCATGTGGAGTGTTTAGCCTTCTGCCTGCAGAGAGTAAGTCTTCAATGCATGAGATCCTATTATTATTATTATTATTATTGGCATTACATAAATGTCTGATAAATAAATTAATAAATGTCAGGCTTTTTCAGGATCAGACTCACCAGGCAACTCAGATTTGGAGGGATAAGGAACTACATTTTATTAGTTCAATTTATAATGTTCGGGTCTAAGGAAATCACTAAAATTTGGCTTCTCAGCCAGAATTCAGCAATTTATAATAGAAGATATATTTTTTCTAGGGGTCAGAACTTCCTGAAATCAAGGTACTTGAAGCACAGAATTAATAGAAGGCTGTTTGCGGTCTCTGAATCAGAACAAAGGGCATTGTCTCTAGAGTCNAGGCCAAGGGAGATCAGGAGCAGAGGAAAAGGTTATGTGAAGACAGAGCAGACAGAGTTTTAATGATACTGGACTTGAAGACTGGTGTGAAATGGCCACAAATCAAGGAATGCCAGCAGCCACCAGAAGCTGAAAGAGATAAGCAAGGGATTCTCCCCTAGATTATCTGGAGGGAGTGTAGCCCTGCCAACACCTTGATTTTGGCCTGATGATACTGGTTTCAGACTGTTGGCCTCCAGAACTGTGAGAGAATAAATGTCTCCTGTTTTAAGCCACCAAGTTTGTGATAATGTGTTACATCAGCCATAGAAAACTAATACACCTATGAAAAAGAAGAAGTCATAGTTCCCTGTTTAGAAAAATCATTGGCACATGATACTATAGGCACATGCGTATTTCATACACAGACTGTCCCAGAACTCACACAACTCTTTGTCCAAAATCACCTTTTATAGCATAATGTCTCAGAGTTAGCTGGACTATAGTTTATTTTGTTATGCTACATATATTTAAAAGAGATCTTACTAAGATTTTTTTTTTTTAGATGACTTTAGGGGACACACTTGTCTTATGAGCAACACATGTGTAATTATCATTTAGTATGTTAGTTTTGCAAATAACTAATCTCATGACATTATGTTGATATTATTAGCTTTAGTTTCAAAACATGGAGATCCTCCCTTTGGAAGAACTGCACCCCCGAAAATCCCCATAGCAATGGTCTCTCATCACTCTTCCGTGCATGGGTTCAAATCCATTGCATAATCTTGGCTTGTACGTAACTGGATGGTATTTTTTTTTTACCTTAAACAAAACACCTCCTTCAAAGCTTAAATCTTAAACATGTGCAAGTTAACGCACAAATGTTGTGGTAGTATTGGCTGAAGATTAGGAGGCTACCCCTTAGCTTTATGAGGAACAATTATTTAAAGTAAATCACAGAATAAGAGAATATTTATTGCTAAGACTAGATGTTTTTCTAAACACATTTTAACTGAGAGTAGAATTTTTAATAGTCAACAGGGTATTGGTCCAAAGGCTTTTGCGACTGTTGCTAGGTCACATTTTTCTAGGCATCAGCTTCCAGTGGCAATTGGATTTTATCTTCTGGAATTGTGTTAATTTGTGTATGTTTATCAGAAGTCTCCATATGGCAAATATAGGGAACTAAGTCACTATAATTTATACAATTAACTCACTGATAAAAAACTAAATATTGTGACAAAGTTTGTACAATCCTCTGTCAGATATTTCATCAGAGTAATGAATAGAGAAAACTCTGGCATCCACCACTAAAGTAAGGGGAAAATATTCCTAAAGAACAGAGAAGGAAATGAACATCACGTTCTCTTAGAGAAAAGCAAGAATCTGTAGGTCAAAAATGGTAGAATGTTAGCGATTCCCTACTGTTCAATTTAGTAGTTTACTTGGAATCCATTGGTCTTGGAGGGTATAAAAGTGATTCCATTTAAAGTTATGCCATGGGCACTTGGCTTCTTATGATCTGTTTCCCCACTTTGTTCCTTTGAACCAGTTTACCTTTCATATGCCTAACAGAGTTGTTTGCATAGGATTTGGTGTCAATATTTAAAGAGAAGAGCAGAGGATTATATTATTTATCCAAAATGATCAGTTTTTTGTCTTCCAAAAAGGTTGACCTTTTACATGGAACAATTTGA